GCCACACTGCTTTCCACAGTGGTTGCACCATTTTATACTCTCACCAACAGTGAATAAGGGTGCCAGTCTCTCCACAACCTCGCCAGCATTTGTTGCTTGCTATTCTGTTAAATTTTGCTAGTCTTACTAGTGTGAGATGATATCTCATAGTTGTCTTGATTTGCATCTCTCTTAGAGCTAGGGATTTTGAACATTTCTTCATGTGCTTGTTGGTCATCTGAATGTCTTCTTTGGTGAAGGGTCTGTTCATATCCTGTGCCCATTTTTCAATTTTATCTTTTTGTAGTGCTCAAGTATTTTATAAATTCTAAATATAAGTCCCTTATCTGACATGTCATTCCCAAATACTTTTTCCCAGTCTGTGGCTTCCCTTTTTCCTCTGTTGGAGAACTTTTTGGATGAAGCACAATAAATTTTAAAATCCCTAAATTCACTAACAAGTTTAAGCAGAAAAATTCTTCACATCATCTTTAAACTTCAAATTAGAATTGTTTTAAATTGCCACAGGTAAAGAAGTAATTTCTACTAGCAGGACAACTGGGCTAGCCATTTCCTTACCCAGATTCCTCCTCAAATCTAGATTTATGGTTCCCAAAATTGGCCACAAAGCTAAATCAACTCAGTTCATTGTCATGGTGTCAGAACCAACTAATAGCTAATTTAAACTTTTTCTTAAAATCCCTAATACACACTATGGATTTTACTTATATTTAAAATGTTGATAATCTGTATAGAATATTATAAAGATTATTTGGCTTAAGCATAAAAACAGTGTTTAGAATTTTAAAATTTTTTACTGCAAATAAAACTCTTATTTTGTGAATTTAATAATTTAAAAATTATTAATTATTTAAAAGTATGTTCATAATTTACATTAGCTAAATTTTATTTTGAAAACCATATTTCATCTGAAGAATTAAAAAGAATGACTTGACATTAATGTAGTATAGTTAATAGACATCAGTAAAATATTGAAGGGAAATAAGAATTTAAGAAAAATTCATTCATTAAAATTGATGTGCATTTTTTAAATTTCTATTTTAGGGGTCCCTTCAGTGTTGTACGACGATGTATCAACAGAGAAACTGGGCAACAATTTGCTGTAAAAATTGTCGATGTAGCCAAGTTCACATCAAGTCCAGGGTTAAGTACAGAAGGTAAGAGATGGATTTCAAGTAAGTTATTTGATGTCTGGCTTTATTCCACCTCCACAATCCATTTATCAATCTAAACTTCATCTGGGGTTTGGGAAGAAGAGGGTGTGATAGAATGGGAAGTGGGTGGAGATGTTTTATTGAGTTTGACAGAATTCTAAAACATAGTATTTTAAATATAGCTCTAGTGATTATTTTTAGAGTTACAAAGAATTGCTATAGTATGCATTTTTAAATAAGAAGAATGTGAAATGTGAGCATATATTTTTCAGGGCTATATTCTGAGTTCTATTGTGTGAAATATAAAACAGTAGGAAAGGGAAACTTAGACAAAGATAAAGATAAAATTACAAATTCAGAAGAAACTATAGTAGTACATACTACTGTAGGATCTAGGATTATGATCTGTTACTTTTAGGTGTTGTCCAGACAACTGTGATTTATATAGACTTTGTTAACAATAGATAGAAACATTGCCCTGCCCTTCACCATCTTCACAATTTCTGCTATGCTCAAACCCATTCTTACAGTCACTATGTCAATCCATCTTGATGAGGTCTTCCTCCTTTTCCTGAACCTCCACCATTCCTAGCTTGATGTCTTCTAAGGAATAACCTTTCCTGTCAACATGCTTGCTCAGTTTGTGAGGTGAAGTTTCACTATCCTTTCATTTAAGAAGCAACTTGGTTGCACCTCCTCCAAAACAGGAAGATCTAGTCTTTGATAAGAACATTGGCCAAGAAATGAAAAGAGGTGGAATATCAGAGAAAGGGAGACTAAGAATTAAATTTTCAAGAGACTTGATGACGCTAAGAGCAAAGACAGGTTACTAGTAAAGTCTGATTCTAGATGATGAGCTTGGGATTTGGGGTACTATTGTGATAGGAATGCCAAATAAGAATGCCTAGGTTTATATGACTGAAGTTTTTAATAGAGTGGAATTAGCCTACTAATGATGACATTATCTGAGGAAATCTTTTGCAGAAGTAGAGAGAGAACACTTCATCAAGAAGTTACTGATCTAGAGGCTTTCAGTCTCTATCACTTTTAGTGTAATAGTGTCAATGAAAAATTATATCCATCAGAACACTAAGCTGGTGTAATTAGATGGTATTTTGGCAGAAAAAAATCCTGACCCTCAGGTGCAAGGGGGTTAACATATAATATAGTTCATGTCCATAAATTTTTCATCTCTTTACCTATGTTTTTAACTGAAATTATAGCTCACTTCTTGGTTACTTTGGTTATATAGTGTTAGTTGTCATTGTTGTTATGTGCCATCGAGTAGACTACAACTATTAGCAGTCCTATGCACAATAGCTCTGAACCTTGCTCTATCATAAGCCAATCTCATATCTGCTAGTCTAATTTAGGTTTTCAAAGGCCTGTTGTTTGTGAAGCAAATCCTTCTCCCTAGTCGGCCTTAATTTAGATGTTCAATTTAGAGAAATATCTGGCAGACAAGTCTTAAAGTATATGAATAATAAAAGCAAAGTTGTAAAATTCTTTCTATATTAATAATTACAATGTTACTAGTAACTGAGATAACTTTTTCCTTTTCTTCTTTTCCTTTATTATTCCATTTTTAAAAAGTTTTACTATAGGTTCACAAATACTAATTACTATAATATTCTAGCTAAAACACCTGAAAGTTGGACAAAATCAGCCACTATAGAAACATTGACAACAATGAAAAGATGCCTGTAGTGCATGCAGACAAGACCATGTGATTAAAAGTTCATTAACTGCATAATAATGACTGCTCTGACAGGCGCACATTTAAAGCAAGCAAACACACATACAACCATCAAGTCAATTCTAAGTACCTTCAAGTCAGCTATGAAATATAGTGACCCTATGAACAACAGAAACCTTACCCTATCCTGTGCATTCTCATGATCTCTTGAACCTGGGAGCCCATTGTTAAAATCATTGACAATCCATCTGATTGAGAATCATCTTTTCCTTCACTGACCTTTCCAAGCATGAGGTATTTTTGTTTTCTCTATTTTTTTATTATTAATTTTAATAAAAGTTTACAGAGACTTTGGATTTTGATTCATTCATTCTTGCACTTTTCTCCCTGCCCACCCCTTCCCCCATTTTGCTCTTCTCTTTGAAAAGTAAAAGAAAAATTCTTTCATTACTATACAACCCCTCCCCCCAAGTCCACTCCACAGTGCAGCCTTCGTTCCGGACTCCTGTCATGACATTAATGCCTAATCATATATCCCTTTTATTTTTTAATTAAATTTTATTAATTTTAATGAACATTTACAGAGATGTTGGGTTTCCATTCATCCATTGTTGGACTATTTTCTCTACCCTCCCCCCCCCAGTTCGTTCCTCTTTTTTTTTCCCACTTGAAAGTCTGTTTTAATTGTCGCATTGCCACAGTGCTTGTTAAAGCCAGTTCTGATTAATCTCCTTTGTCAGTGTGTCCTTTGCCATTCCCTATCACTCCTCCCTGAGAGACACTTCACCCTGATTCATAAGGAAAAGGGGACAGCATATTCTCTTAGCTACTTCCTGCTGAAAAGGGACATTGTAGGTGTCAGGGTGAAGATCTTCTCTCACTACTCTAAAGGGCCCCTTTGGCAATAGGAAACACATAGACTATTATGGAGATTGATTTTGGAATTTAGATGCACTGTTATCAATTGTGCTTAGCCGTACATGTTCATATCCTTGAAGATGTATTATGGAAGGGTTGCAACCTAGAAGAAAGAAATTTAACTAACGAATTAAAAGCACATGAGTCAAAAATTAAAAGCAGGGCAAAGCAGCGCCTTGCTCAGAACCCAGCAAAATGGAGCTCGAGGCCTGAGCAGATACACCAGCCCGGTGAACCCAGCTGTCTTCCCCCATCTGACCGTGGTGCTTTTGGCCATTGGCATGTTCTTCACAGCCTGGTTCTTCGTTTATGAGGTAACCTCTACCAAGTACACACGGGACATCTACAAAGAGCTGCTCATCTCCTTGGTGGCCTCACTCTTCGTGGGCTTCAGGGTCCTCTTCCTGCTACTCTGGGTCGGCATCTATGTATCACTGCCGAGGGTATGCATCTGATAGCTTCACTGAATCCCTGCTTTTGTAAATTAGTATTTTTGACTTTTTTTATTAACTAGTGCTGGAAGTGTTCCAACTTCTGCCCCACATTAAAGACAGGTGTGTGACAGTTAAAAAAAAAATTAAAAGTAATAACATTCCAAGTAGGGGTTCTAACAGGGGCACATCAAGTTACAGAGGGAAGATAGTTCTTACAATAAAAGGCTTATTGACTAGCCCTTTGTCTATTATAGTACAAAGGTTAGGAACCACAAGATGTAGAGGCTCAACTATGTAATTTATTGTTCTTAAGTCCTGGAGCAAATTCCATCTACCACTGGGTTGTTTTACATCTCGGAAGTCCACATGCAAGGCAGAGGTGAAGTAAGGAACTGCTTATGAGGTTTTCCATCAATTCCAACAACTAAGAAATAGTGAGAAGAGCTGGGACCTCAGAAGGCTTTTAGGACCAAATAGTAGGCTCTTGTGTCCAGGAGAAAATGAATATGCTTACCAGTAATGTTAATGCTCACCCACAGCTCTTCTGGGAGGATCTAAATCGTCGAAGCGTCCTCCTTTGTTTCCAGCTGGGAGCGGGGGCCTGTCAGTCCTGTTAGCCACAAGGACCTGATGTGGGCCACCCTTGGCCATGTGTCCTTCTGGTCCTCGTGAGAGTGACATCGTCTTTAAACCCCGTGTGGCAATCCCTGATGCACCGCAGTGATGCCCAGGGACAACAGGGCGACCTGGAAGTCCAACTACTTCCTTAAGATCATTCAACTTCTGGATGATTATCCGAAATGCTTCATCGTGGGTGCAGACAATGTCGGCACCAAGCAGATGCAGCAGATCCTCATGTCCCTCCGTGGGAAGGCTGTGGTTCTGATGGGCAAGAACACCATGATGCGCAAGGCCATCCGGGGACACCTGGACATCAACCCGGCCTTGGAGAAGCTGCTGCCTCACATCCGGGGGAATGTGGGGTTTGGGTTCACCAAAGAGGATCTCACAGAGATCAGGGACATGCTGCTGGCCAACAAGGTGCCGGCTGCTGCCCATGCTGGTGCCATTGCTCCGTGGGAGGTTACCGACCCAGAACACTGGTCTGGGCCTCGAGAAGACCTCCTTCTTCCAGGCTTTGGGCATCACCACTAAGATCTCCAGAGGCACCATTGAAATTCTGAGTGATGTGCAGCTGGTTAAGACTGGAGACAAGGTGGGAGCCAGCGAGGCCACTCTGCTGAACATGCTGAACATCTCTCCCTTCTCCTTCGGGCTGATCATCCAGCAGGTGTTTGACAACGGCAGCATCTACAATCCTAAAGTGCTTGACATCACAGAGGAGACCCTGCATACCCGCTTCCTGGAGGGTGTCTGCAATGTTGCCAGCGTCTGTCTGCAGATTGGTTACCCAACTGTGGCCTCAATACCACATTCTATCATCAATGGGTATAAGCGGGTCCTGGCTTTGTCTGTGGAGACTGACTACACCTTCCCATTGGCTGAAAAGGTCAAGGCATTCCTGGCTGATTCATCTGCATTTGTGACTGCTGCTCCTGTGGCCACCCACTGCCCCTACCGCAGCTGCTCCTGCTGCTGCGGCCCGAGCCAAGGTGGAAGCAAAGAAAGAGTCAGAAGAGTCGGACGAGAATATGGGATTTGGTCTCTTTGACTAAAAACCAAAAAGCCACCAACTCCGCCAGCTTTGTGT